AACAAATCTATACAACGAACAAATGTACACATAAAGAGGAAGAAGCACAAGCAGGTGCTACAAAGACATGGCGTTCCGCGTTGCTGAGGTACCAAAGAACTATTGATAGTGATGAATGTGTTCCAGTGGCGGCAGAATAATCGACTATGAAAGTGATGTGTTTTCGGTAAGAAGAACCATAAAACGGACTTTTTGCTGGAAATTTTTTGCATAGTTCGTAAAAGGACAAAGGATAAAGCTCTCGGCGTTGATCAATCCCTGAGCGATGCGCCATGCATTCGACTTCATTAAGCATCGTTTGAAGGTGATTGAATGCATATCTGGCCTTTTACAATGACTCGCGGAGGCCTAGCGATGTATCCAGCCAGTGTTGCTATCCTCTCAGACAAGTCTGGTACCAATAAGCTGACCCTGGAGGGATGGAAGGTTTGGTGTGCCATGGACGCGGGTATCGATTCCACGTGTGTGTTGCAGGGCACCTCCGACCACTGCGCCACACGTGCCCCTGTATAGCTCATACTACAGGTAAATACCTCTCGCTAAGAGTGACAAGGTGTATAAACAATTGTAGTGCAGACGCGCATTCGGCTTAACTCCAGTTGGTGAGACTTTGTGGAAGTATCGAGCATAAACTACAGAAATCATAATCGCAATCGGAGAAACACGAGCAACAACTGAAGATTCGAATTTGAAATACTCAAAGCGAACTTCGTTTTAGAACACTTGGTGATTAGAGAGGATTATGAAGTTGTTGGCCACTTTTTAATTGTTATCGAGCCGAATAACTTCACCAGTGGAAACTCACTTTGTACATTTCGTTGTGAAAAGATGACGTCGACGATTTGAGGTGACGTACATGTGCGATGGGAGATGCAGACGACCACCGTGAATGAGTCACGAGAGACCGCCGAGTCACGGTCGGACACGTACACAACTCGACGCTCTCGAAGATCGGCACCACTGAATGCGTCTGAAATTCATCATCGTCAGCTCGGCACTTCTACTCAAGCATTTGTCGGTATAGTGAAATCACAGGGATAAACTTCGAGAAGTATAAGATAGTTGTGAAGAGGTATCGTGTAAATATCTACTTTTAAGTGCAACCCGGAATCGTGGCGAATCTTTAGATCACGTTCCACTTTTTTTCTGTTTCTGTTTTCTTCTGAATATAAACATCGTTGCAGTTACTTTCAGATAACTGGAAGTTCACCACGTAATCTCAGTCGGACAATGCTGATTTCTAAACCCCATTTTGGAATGGGCGATGTTTTAAGACCGTCAGTGAGAGACGGTATGTGCAGTTCTCAGATATTGGTTGTGATTGTACATAAGGGTAAGGAAACAAGCGTCAGAGACTTTCACTGGTTCTCAACGGACTAGCTATTCACTCCTCACCTATGGAACTGATATTGTTGATGCTCCATGAATCGAGTACGATCCAACCATAATTCGGCTTTTCCACAACATTCACCACGTAATCCTCTCTATCCGACGACGTCACATTCAGTATACTGTTCGAAACTATAGCCGAAGTTCCAGCAACAACGTGAAGCAGTGATGACTTCACGTTTACCTTAAATATAAACATATCAAATGCGCCAGAATAAAAATGAAGGAGAAGAGATGGAAGAAGTGGTTTGATGAATTTAACGCTGAATTTGACCGGGCTAATAAATAATAACACTAAATTTTCTTCTATTTCTCTCGGTTTTAGAAATAAATGTCTCATACAAAGCTAATATTTAGAAAACAACAATTGATTGGATAGAGGTGACACAACTTATTGAAAACATTAAAACATTAACGCCGATGTGAAGCACATATGACTCACACGCGTAGTTGTTTTGCTAGTTTCCTGCATTTCTCAAAATGACTCATTGTCTTTAGTTTTTTCCCACTTATGAAATAAAAGTTAAACTTTCTACCGACATCCTAAATACTTCTAACCCCTTTTTCCAACTTCCATCGTATTCGTTATTAGTAATCTCACAAACGTTGTGTATTCGTCACACCGTGAAACCTACGTAATGCTCATAGATTTCCACATAGAGGGTATAGGGCCCTTTTGTGATATGTGGTGAAGAAATGTTGAAGTGAATGGTATCCCGACCGGAACCGCTGGCACCGTGAACGTACTGTACACGTGCCAGATCAACGTCCCTCTGAGTAAAACGCTGCACAGACAGCCGAGGTGTCCTTGAGGTGTTTTCTAAATGAACATTACACTTACTAGGTTCTCAAAATGACTGGGAAAAAAAAACGAAAAAAAAACCATGTTCGTATCCAAACAGAACAATAAAAGTGTAAGGGAGCAATACAATATGATATATATATATATATATATATATATATTTCTGCGAAGTCGCCGAAACGTCAGCCATCGATCAATAACATCAAAAACAACGACAACGACAACGAAGATCTGTACCAACCTCGCCTCAGCTTAAGAAGATCAGTTTATAAGATCGCATAAATAAATATTTCACTAAGCATCGTTTGGAGGTGATTGAATGCATATCTGGCCTTTACAATGACTCGCGGTAACGTACCCATGTATCGAACCAGTGCTGCTATCCTCGCAGATAAGTCTGGTAGCAATTTGCCCATCTCAGAGGGATGGAAGGCTTGGTGAGCCATGGGCACGGGGATCGATCCCACGTGTTTGTTGCATAGCGCCTTCGACCACTGCGCCCCACACGCTCGATATAGGCATATAGATGAAGAATACAACCATAAGAGTGCTGAGATATAAGCAAAATCTGAAACTTCAGGTGGGCCTCGAACCCGCGATTACCCTTTCCTACGCTCACGTGTTAGCCACCACACCAATCTAAGTCCTTGCGTTGCCCTTCTCTCAGGCAGGTTTTCCTATCCTAACGGTGCTACTAGCAATTGTCCGTCGACATGCATGATCTGTGGAGGAACAAATCGGCAATATGAACCTAGTCAAGCTGAAGCTAGTGTCGAAATCACAACGTTAACAGAAGAAGATTCCATAACAAAATTATTCAACAGAACTACCTTGTTCCAAGATCAGCTCGCCTTCTTGTGGTTGCTTGATGACGTTGTAGACGAGGTTGTCGGCAGAACTGATTGCATCACCGATTTCTAGGTGAGTGGAGTCAATTGGCACAACACCACCCACCGGAAGCGATAACGTCGACGATCGACGGAGCTCCAGTGAGGCACCAAGCGATCGACGCACGATTTGCATCTGAAAGCATCCAGAGTGACTCCAATATTCTAAAAATTTGAAGCGGGTTCCTTCTTCTCTATGTTCCTTGTCTTCCTAATATCGTGTCTCTCCTTCCGGATATCACTTTGTCTAGAAGCTTTTTCTGCATACCAACACCACTATTTCTCTGAATGGATAACGAAGGCCTCATCGTCTACTTACATCTCCCGAAATGAACCTCACCAAGGCTTCTATTAGGTTCCGCATGAAGAATAGGTGAAACTGGATCAATTTTTTTAATTAGCAGCATGTTATCTTCTTTTCACAGCATTTTACAACTTAAAAGGACTACCATCTTTGTACTTCTCTTGGTCTCCAGTTAAGAAATTCATTCGAAAACCAAAGCTAACAAGAGTTTGGCGATTTTTAACTGTTTTAAAAAGCAATTGACTGACCTCCGCCTTAATACTCTGATTACCCACTCGAACTGTCAATACTTCCCTGTTAGCCGTACCTACATTGTAGAAGATTTTTCCAACATTGATGTCCTGGAAGTCATTATAAAATAAACAAATCTTGAAGAAAAGAACAATGAGTAGTAAAAATTGAAAAAAACTGAATAGCAAAAAGGATTCTTCAGAAAACGATTGGTTGTGTTCGTCTATGTAATTCACTATGTTCAACTAAGGAAATGAACTGCTCATAAAAGAACTACTCCCCGAAAAATCAATACTTGCTTAGGCCGTTTGTAAAGTATAGAAAAAAAAGATGTGCCCCACCTTCTGGGTAAAAGTACGAGTGGGTTTTCTTGATTTTTGATATTGCATTACAAAGCTATCAGTTTCAGTGTGATAGACGATATCCTCAAGACGAACATCCAAATTCGTAACAACCGATAGATTAGCAGCTTCGACAACTGCAAAATAGAGGTATAAAGACCTTTACAGAAGGGCTACCATATGAACATGACGATGAATAATTGGCAGCTCGAACCGTTCATTCCAGTATGACAAGAAACCTCAGCGAGGACAAGCTGACTTTCACAACCACAACGAAGCAAATAACTAGCGTTACTGCCAGTCTTCACAGTTGTTCCTATTCATTAAAGCTTACGCAAAGTTGGTGTGTCTCCAGGTAAACAACAATACGCGAGAAGGCTTTCGGTTAGACGAACGAACGGATCGGAGGCGATAATTCGCAGCAAGCCATCCACAATGTGCTTCTGGTCGCTTACTGTATAACTGAAAGCTTCCATATACTGAGAAGAAAACAGCCACATAACAACTCACTGAAAGTACAGCGGTTGCTGAAGAGTCTCGCTTGCTTATTTTTTGCAGGGTAACTGGGAGGCCCACAAGATATGGAAATCTCTTCACTTCTCTTTTATTTTAAGTAACTTTCAAACGAGTTAAAAAAAACGTGGTATTCGTGGCGAATGTGCCTTTCATATTCTTCTACCATATGAAAAGCATATTTTCAGATGAAATAACATCACTGACACTACCAAAAAGAGCCTGTATACTATTTTTAGAACAAAACAGCAAGCACACAAAGTAGATGGTGCCTATCTAAACAGCTGAAGCTGTCCATGTATTGAATGTTTACTCCTTCCAACCTACCTCACTGTGAAGTTATTCTTATGTCCCAAATGTCGCAACATAACTCGACCCTGACGAAGATCCTGTTCAGAAAATAATGTCACCGGCAAGTACGGCGAAACCGTAGACAAGACGGCTGCATCCTGAAACTATGATAAACACTGGAATAACAATAGATATGACGTACTGTAAGAAGACAGAAACAAAAAAAAGGAAATTAGGCTCATTTAGCTAACCTTAATTGGCTGATAGAAGTTGAATTGTAGGGGAACACCATCAGAATCGTCATCGACCCAGTCCAGGAGATAAGGATAAAGGATACGTTCACCTCTTTCTACTATCTAAAAAGATACTTGCTCGATCGAATTCGATTTTACGATGAAAACAGTGCCCACCTGAATAATGTGACTACCGCGAAGGTGAGGTCGATTATCGTTTACCGGAATAATGGAGAATGACATCCAAAACGGAATGCGTCTTCCTTTGCGAAACGCTGACTCGGCGATCAGATGAAGCCGATCCGTTCTCGATTCAGATCCCGAATGCGAGTACAGTAGCCTGAAATCACATCTGGTAGCTCCTCTCCAGAAAATGACTGGTACTAATCGGTAAACCAAAGCAATCGACTTCATCGTGAAAACATGGAAAAGGATTTAAAGGAATGTCGAAAAACGGCGAGATAATGAGCTTGCGCCGCAGTTTTTCAAAACACGCACTATGATTATGCTCTTAACTGGATAAGTTATGAATCTATGTCGTGTTCTTAGGAAACTTTGTGAAAACATGCAGTTTGGCGGGGAATGTGGTTAGGTTACTGTAGGAGAAAAATGTCTAGAAGCTCCACCTTCATCGTTGGACGTGGGAGTCTTCCAATGCAAAGTACCATAACGAAATAGACCACATCACAGTAAACAGAAAGGTTTACCTAATCGTTGTCGCTGTTGTCCCAAAATTCTACATGGGATCAGACCAGCGTCTCCTTCGTGCAAGATTCTATTTCTCGCGTAAAGGAGAAAAAGCCGCTGAATTCCAAACCGAAATCCCAGAACCGCTGTAAACTGGGACTTCTTCAATTCGGGAAGTCGGCTGTTGGGAAGATGTCGCTGTCGATAACAACGACGAAGAATACGATCGCCTCATTCAACATCTTCACGTTAGCGCTATGAGAGCTGAGAGTTCGAAAGCCACCAAGAGACGTCCGAACTTGCAAAACAGTGCACACAGGCGATAAAAGAAGATCTTAGAGAGAGAAGAGCAGCAGTAATGCCCGAAGCTGCAGAGACTGGGAAAAGCATTCGCAAAGACCACCGAAGCTTTGCCAATTGCAAGACCAAAATAATTGTTTTCCGGCGCCCAGACAGAACAGTTACAGCGGCCAGAAAGCCGATGGAGAAAATCATTCACGAATACTACTCAGATCTCTTCGATAGCCACGCCCACCTTCCGTCATATGAAATAAAGGAGGATGGATACGTTGCACCACCGGTTCTCCCTCCAAATCCGACATGCCACTTCGTCGGTGAAAAATCGAAAAGCACCAGGTCCATATTGGATAAGACCGGAACACCTGAGGAACCTTCTGCTACTCCTCGTAAACACACTGGCTAGGCTCTTCACACGTTACCTGCTTGAATGCAAGGACCCTACTAAGTGGAAGGACCAGCAAGACCGTGTTATTGTTCAAGAAGGGTGACCTACACGACATCGGCAACTATCGCACAATCTGCTTTCTATCTGTCGTCTACAAACTTTTCACACGAGTCATCCTAAACAGAATTGACAGAACACTAGACGAAAGACAGCCATGTGACCAAGCAGGGTTCCGAAAAGGGTTTAGTGCGATGGACCACATCCACACGGTAACACGACTCATTAAAGTATGCGAGAGTACAAAAGACCGCTGTGTCTCACATTCGTTGATTTGAGGAAGGCCTTTGATTCAATTAAAATAGAAGTTGTCGTAGAAGCCCTTAGTAGTCAGGTAGTCCATACTCAAAATATAAAGGTTTTTCGTGAGATGTACAAAAATTTCACAACCAAGTTGTCATCATTCTACAATGATACTAACATCAACGTCAGAAGAGGACAAAGACAGGGCGATACCATTTCGCCAAAATTATTTACCGCCAACCTCCAGAACGTCGCGCGAACACTGGAATGGGATAATATAAGAGTGGAAATCGATGGTTACACCATCTTCGCTTTACTGATGGCATCGTTCTTACTTATGCCGCATTCACGCTCAACGGAACGAATATCTCCGAATGCTCCAACTATATCTATCTAGAGAGGGAAATCAAAATGATAAATGACTTAGCTCCAAAGTTGAGCAGAAGGAAACGAGCGGCTTGGGAAGCTTTCAAGAGCATCGAGGATGCAGTGAACAGAACAAAGAACACCTGACTCCGTGCCCACCTTTTCGACCAAACGGTAGTACCTGCCCTAACGTATGCGTCAAAAACTTGGTCGATGCGTAAGCAGGATGAAAGACCTCAGAACGCGCAGTCGGAAGGACGATACTAGGTGTATCCCGTTACACACAAGTAAGGGATGGGATCCGAAGCTCCGACCTGCGTCAACATCAAAAATCAAAGATGCTGCTCTGTACGTGAAACATTCGAAGATAAGGTGGGCCGGACACGTAATGCGTATGAATGACAACCGATAGACAACAGCCGTTAGTGGCTGGATTTCTCGGGATGTCAAACGTACTGCAGGAAGACCATCGGCGCGATGGTCAGAGTTCTTCACAAAGAGCCTTGAAGAAAGATGTGATCCTCGACGAGTCCCTAGAGCAAGCAAAACGCACTAGGCTACTCTTGCACGCGACAGGGAAAAATGGAAGATTTGGTGACGCCCGCTCGGGTCACTCGACGATCAACGGGAATGCAGGTGATACAGGTGATACCGGTGGTGCTACATAAATAAAAAAGACAGTATTTAGGTTCGAAGAAGTCATTGGAAGGGGATGTGTCCATTAGATAAGAATATAGAGATCAACTTAAGGATATATGATAATTCAGGAAAAAAAGTTCGATGCTCTCTGTGAAAAATTCCAAATAGTCGAAAAAACGGGTAAATAAACACATAATAAGCGACGAAAAAGTTTGTGTCGAAATGTCTTATTCTGAACATGAAAATATGTCTTTATTCATTCATTAAAAACGTCTTTATTTAATTATAACATCAACAGAAGGAAAAACGTACCGTTCCTCTGCAATGTCCTTCGTGGTGAAATTCATACCAGATGTAAGAGTTTTGTTACCAGCTCTCGTTCGAAGAACCAGCGATCCATTGATGGGAGCGAAAGTCAATGTGAAGACGAAGAACGAATCATCCGGTGTAGCAAGCGAAAGGGAATCGGATCCCACCTACAGAAGAGTACGTTTGGAATTTTCGAGAAAAAAATTAAAAATTTGCAAAATAATTAAAATATGTTTACCACAGATGTTTCACCTTCTTGAACAACAATAGTCCGATTCACCAACTGAATAGAAGTCTGTGTGGGCACAAAGATTATCTAAAATTTTTATTCATCTTCCCCTATGTATAGAAGTGGGAAGTAATATTTATGATAACTTTGTCACCACGAAGGAACTTTGGTGCCAACTTCAGATTAGGTTAGCAATAGAAAAAGTGGAAAAGAGTGATGTAATAGAAGTCAACAGATGAAACTGGACGCCATAATTTTCCTAAGACCCGAAGATATCAACGAGTCGGTAATACACTACTGTAAGTTTACCGTAAATCGGTTATACGTTACAAGTCGGTGAATATTTCTAAAACAAATTGCTACCTCTTTTTCTCGTACACTAAAAATTAGGACTTTTTAATCTATCTAATTTTAAGTGTGTTCACTTAACAGTGATTCTACGGTTTCTTTTACTTCTTACTACTAGCCTCTGCGTATAAAGGTGTTTAAGTGGTCCATTAATTGGTGAACGGTAGTGAACTAGAGACAAGTTGTATTGGTCCCCAGAAAATTTAACCAATATAGGGCAAATTGTGTTGGCGCCTAAGTTGTAGGCGGTCCTTATGGCTTTTAAGCGCTCCGTTTTTTACTAACAGCAGTTTGTCGGCTATCCAGTTTTATTTCTCCCGCAAGTCCGATTATTCAGGCACTCTTTTTCCAATAACTAACCTCGAATCGAAGAGACTCGGATGAAATAGCAGGCGTAATTACACGAAAGAGAAAAAAATCGTTAATAATTGAATATTGCATGAAATGTAGCTTAAACGAAATCAGCTCGTTGTCGATATCCTGAAAATACCCGTTCTATAGATATCACAAAAAACGATAGCGCAACCCTAGGATAAAAAAAAACAGGGATCCATGATCGTTGTCTTACTGGCCATCAACAGAGCAAAGTTGTTAGCTAGAAGAGCCAAATTCCAAAAAAAAGAAACAGAAGAAAACCTCCTTCGAAATTAAACATTATAAACATTCAGTCACTTATGACACTCCTAAGAACAGTCGACGTTTTTCAATGTTCGTTTTTAACACTCGCTTGATTGCTGTATAACGGAAACCGTCACTCACCGCTTGTGTGAAATTCGATGACACTCCAATTCTACGACTTTTACCGTTGATTCTTCGTGAGAGAATACCGTATTTGGGCGGTTCTTCTATGTGGTAAATCAGTTTTTCAGGAGGATAGCTTTTCGGGAACGTCCACGCGAAAAGATTCGACCTGCTCAACGTACCACTTTCGGTACCATTTAGCATGAATACTTCACGATTAAACACCTGAACAAGGTAGATCTTTAGAAACCCATCGAACAGTGAAAAAATCTGGCTCATTTATGGGAAATTACAAGCGCCATAGATGGGGATACGAGCCAAGGGAGATGAACTAAGATACGTGGTGCCGATCAAGGCAAAGGAGTCATGTGGTGCGTAGCGTACATAATTTTCCACCTTTTGAGAATTTTTACCTTAACATTCATCGGTATGAACATTAGTCGAAAATTGTAAATCATTGAGACGAAACCGCCAGATTCTACCTGAAATCATACTAGATTATTCATAAAATAGTGCTACAACAAATAATACAGGTTACGTGTATTAATTATCCAACTTTAAGGAAAGTCTGCTCAATAGAGTAGTTTAACGAGTACTTTTATTGCAGCTTGTCTTTTAAAGGAAATTTCATATCACATGTTCATGAACACCATTCATGGTTGGAATCCTCCAATACAGCTCTTTAAGAGCAATCCCACTTGATGTTTGTGTTGGTTGTATTTCAGAACACACGTAGTCAGGAGTTCTAACCGTTATGCGTTAAACATTGCTAAAAAGCGTCTTTACTTCAATAAAAAGCGCTGCTGAAGGTAATACTTTGGATCTGTCAGAAAATTAATGAGTTGTTTCTTCTAAAAGCCCAGATGTGAGTCATATCTTCTTTCTCCTTCTGCAAAATTACTCCTGTGTCCAGACTTCCATGTTGATTGAACGCCCGAGGTAAATGTGTAAATTGATTTCTGTAAGCAAAGAACCATCCTTGATTTGTCCACCATGGCATCATAGGTCCTTAAAAAATTATATTCTCCCCTGATTTATGCATAGCATTTTCCTCTACCATAGAACATTGAACTTCATGACCATCGTCCCTGTCTCACCAGCATTCATCAAAAAGTTAGCAATGTCATCGGTTGAACAAATGTCTGATAAAAAGTTGTCATTAGCAATTGCATCACCGTCGTCTCTACCTCAAATTTATATTCTAGCCACTGTATAGCCACTACCCACTCCAATATAGCATTAAACAACATTGGTGAAATGATATCGCCCTAACGAATTGTTTTCCAATGAGTATGACAAGAAACCAATGAAAAAGCTCTATTCCATACTGTATTTGCAACAGTAGTCAGCTTAAGTTTTTATAGAAGCAGAGTCCCTTCCTTGGTCGATGAGCACTGATGAGATGGTTTTCGACTCCAAGCTTTTCCTTAGCCCAGAAAGATTGCAATTGGATGAGAATACTATTCCTGACAACCTATAAGGTTCTAGTTATGAGTTTCCGCTTTTTGCACCAGTAATTCTCGTTAATATCCTGCTTGCTAAAGCGATAGTACTCGGCCGAATCTCCATAATGGCAAAAACTATACGAAGGCTTTGTAAGGAACACTCAACTAGCTGTTCCAACAAAAATAGACAATGTACTTTCGTCAACTTATTAGGAAGACTTTTCAACGCATCGAACAAATCAAAAGCACAAATGTTAAAATAACCCAATTAGTTCATATCTAATAAAACCCGAAGAATTCGAAAGAATAAGGACCTGGAAACTAAACGTATCCTGCGTTGGATGGTGTGCGCTTGTGTGCCTAAAGCGTACAAGACCTCGATCAATCTGGAACATTTTTAATAACTAGTACAAAGACTGTTTAGAAAAAAAACTTTGAGCAGCTTTCCTTTGAATTTGTGGTAACTTTTTAGTTGTAATTTTGGAGAATTTGGCATAGATGGAAACGTCAAGATGGAAACGTCAAGATGGAAACGTCAAGATGGAAACGTCAAGATGGAAACGTCAAGATGGAAACTAATTTAAAATGGTTCTTTCCCGACTAAGAAAGAAAAGGATAAAATAAACAAATGTTATAAAGGAGACGTAACGTCGATCACTAATGAGTCGTAAATAGATCCACCACTTATCACGAGAGACTGAAAAGATGTGGTGATGCACGTCTTCCTTATGTATCATCATATCCGACATTAATCAAGCACATAATACAGTAGCCAAGTACTCTAGCAGAACTTTTCTACTGCAGAAAAAGGTGTCAATTTTCCCAGGCATCGAAGAGAAAAACAACCGCTCACCTGTTCTTGCGTAAAAGTGCTGCAAACGGTAAAGTGCCCGTCATTTGGACTGCATTCGATGACACCGTGATGAGGTACTCCAACTATGGAGAACGACAGAGGTAGATCGGGAACGGTGGCGATAAACGAAAGGTTACTAGAAATAAATGTGGATTTTTTATAACTGGTCAGTTACGTGGAACGTACTATAGCTGTGAGTAGTAGCGGGCTAACTGCCTCAATTTCTTCTTCGTTCATTCAAAAACTGTATAAATTATGCATGGCTCTAATCTTCATTGACAGCGTCATGTATCGTGCGAGCGAATCCGATTTGCTCAAGAATTTAGTGATCTATCCTGTAGTAGAGTAGCAAAATTGCTTGCTGCAAATGTGGTACCTTTTCCAGAGATCTTTTTATAAGATAGATGTCATCGTCTGACGGATAGGGACTAAGTAGGAACGCAAAAAAGATGCGTCCAGCGCTTGGATTTTCTCAAAGATCAGAAATCAGTTGGTTGAACGGAACCTGGGAGACCATTTGGGATCGCCACGAGCAAAGAAGCCCTATGTCTGGCTAGGAGCAACCAAACAAGTTTAATGTGGATATATCCAGCTCATTGTGGCAAAACTCTCCGTGGGCACATCCTCACTACAAATTGTAAAAGTGTACATCATATAATGTCCATCACTCAAAGATTCTAATTCCATGCATGTTCCTCAAGGAAGCGGGGCTCATTAGCAGCTCTAGTGGGCAGCCAAATGAATAAAGACCTTATTGGTGCCTGCCATTTGGTGAATAGCGGAATTCTAGAGTCGTACAGGTGAGAAGTAATCTGGTAGATGTTACTTGTAAGCTGCCGAAAACCACCTCGAAACTACAAACACGGCGTTGTTAAGGGCAAAGATCAGCATAAGTCTGGTAAAACTATTTCGAAACCTCATGAAATAGCTGAATCAGCAACGATCGCTTGCCAGAGGAACTAGCGAGCAAGGAAGTCCGTAAAATTCAGAATTTTAACATAAACAAGTGTACTTAGTCATGTAAAAATTATACAAGGCAGTAAAAGTTAACAAAAGCAAGTGTTTTCTCAAAAACCAACATAGTTCCTAGCCCAATATTTCGCCATGAAATTGTTAAAGTTGTCCATACCCAGACAAATCTCCATCACAAAAGTGCTCAATTTAGCGCGAGGATTTAAGGCTGCAAAAACGGTACTTTATCGGGGAAAAGCACCTAAATCGTTATCCTCACAGGAATTGTGAAATCAAAGCTATTTTTTTGTAGAAATGTGCATGAGATTTTTAGCGCAATTTTAGATGGGCTTTCACTTTTAGAAGAGTTCTGTTTAACCCACTTTGAGGTTATAAGGGCAGAAGAGTGATGGAGAAGACGTACTCCCGTGTTTGCTTTCAGTCGTACTTCAACTGGAGTGCTGATCGTTTGTAAAGTGAGCACCTAAAAGAAGAAAAAGAATTGTAGCATTTACTCCCCAATCGAAATTCCTGTAAGGCCTACTAGTGCTGGATGTTGTTTATTTTGCTTACCAATAAACAAGAATAATATAATAATAACATTAACTTTTTATTTAGCACCTATTACAATTTTTCACAGCAGAGTATTATATGTGATACAGCCACAATGATGCAGAGATATTTGCAAAACTCCGAACCGCAGATGTTTGCGGTGAGGGACAAACGCGCTCTTACCCTTTCCGGGGAGAAAAGCACTTACCACCACACCATGCAGATCCTCCATTTCGCCTGTCTCTCAGTTAGCTCAATCGATCAGTGCCATCAGCAATCACCTGTCAACTGGATTGATCAGGGAAACCCAAATCGATAATGAACCCTGTTAAACTGAGGCTGGAGTCGAATTTTCCAAATATCTCAATATCATTGTTGTTATGTTACACATAATAGTATCACACCCTGCCGTGAAAAGATGTGATAGGCAGTAAATAAAAAGTTAACATTGCGATTTCGACAACGGCCTCAGCTTAACTGGGTTCATCACTGATTTGGGCTCCCCAAAACAATTCCGTTCACGGGAGATTGCTGATAGCAGCAATCGATAAAACTAGCTGAGAGACAGTCGAAACGAAGGAGCCGCACAGTGTGGTGGTGAACGCGTTAGTCCTCGGAAAGGGTAATAGCGCGTTCATTCCCCACCGCAAGGACCTGCGGTCCGGAGTTCTGCAAATATCTCAGCATCATTGAAGTTACAACAACGAATTTCTATCTATAAAAAAACGATAAAGAAAACAGAAAAAGTGCGATAAGCAGAAGAATCCAAAAGAGAAATCAAAACTAGGAAGATAAAACAACAGGAAAAAATTAAGGGTACCTGAGATCGAGCGTCTCCATCTCTCGCCACCAGTCGAAGAACACCTTTTTCAAAAAGGCCTTCATCTTGAATCGACACCTAAAACTAAGATCTCCTAGAAAATCAATTCTAAACACTTCAAGTAAATGAACTGATGATTGATATTTCTAAGTTATTCCCAAGACCGAATTCCGAATTTTTAGACCTCGGCACTGATAAGTGATTTCGATGTGCAGACAAGAGGTTGTTATTACAATTGGTACTTACTTGGTACTTGAACGGCCTCTTTTCAGAGATTTGCTGGTTAAGCCATTGTGGTTACCTGGAATCCCGAGGTCAGCTTGACCAAAGTCAGCCCCAGATCTTCACCACCACAGGCAATCGCTGCTCTTATGGATCAGAAGGAGATTTGCCAACATGCGACTAGTTTGACACCAGGACGGTGGTGAATCCTGGTATTGATTTACTCTTAGCCAGGCTTCTTGATGGAAACGCCGGACTCTTTCTCAGCTTGGGAGAACCTGCCATAGTGATGAATCCCCCTGTTGTACATCACATCTCGACACCCAGGGACACCTCCTGGCCACGGTGCGGACGTAAGTCGTTGGAAGTGTTATTTCGGCGACTACGTTTTAATCAGAGCGAAGTTAACAGCAATCTACTCAGCCAGGCGAGACGTTAGTGGATGAAACTTAATACATAAATTATCACTCCATGGCAAACAACTTCTTTAAAACACTCACCGTATTGCCCCTGGTTATCGCCCAGTTATTTGGTGGATAGCAGCCGCATGGCGTCTTCAATCGACGGAGAATGTGTCTCAGGTCTGGAGTGTCTGGCTCAGGTCATGAAATCAGCCTGAGATATGGCGCCAGTTCGCCGGATCAAGCCTGATCACAAGGCGCTCCTTCTTGCGATTCATTTTTGGATTTTTGGAAATAATCTAAAACGCTGCAAGAGTTTTACGCGGTGATGTCTTGGATTTGTGCGAAGATAGTAACTTCAAAGTTATATCCATTATGCTTCTGTGTCTTATGAGCACCTAGTGGAGTACTTGGTTTTAATTTAAACTTATCGTCTAGTGATCTTTTAAACGGACGCAGAGCGATCAACCCGTATCACCAACGTATTCGGACCCACCGGTTTACAAGAGGTCAAGTCCACTGTATCCGAACACGTGAAATTGCCGTCTCCAGGGTTAGGGCAAATTATGCAATTTTGACTTTCACATAGAGCGGTAAAACAATTACGAACTAGCTAATGCTTTAGAGCTTTCGGCGATATTTCAATCACTGTTACCGAATTCCCTGCACCGGCCATTTTTGATCATTGTGCTATACATACTCCGTTGGAGATAAACGGCAGGCTAATCGGGTCCTTGTTTTCACTAGATTGTCGTTTGACGGTGTCGTTCTTCTTTTAAACTTATCCCGAGGAGACAATGCAGAGAAAAAGAGAAGGAGAATTCCTTGAACTTGGCGCTGCAAATAGCTGTTTCCAATGCCTGCGAGCCAGTAGCTCCTCGGGACAGGTTGTAGGAACATAGCCGTCAAACGATAAGTGTAGGGAAAACGAAGTTCTGTTAACCCGTCCATTTTCTCCAACGAAGCAAGGACAATTGATTAAAATGGGAAGGTGTGGTCGTGTATTATGCACTGCTCCAATGAGGCCCTTACTTTGCCTTTCTCTCAGCTAAATTGCTAATGGCACTGATGTATAGAAAACTAGCTGAGGGAAACTCAGAGCAAGCACCTCCGTGGTGCAGTGGGTAATGTGCACGAGCTCCCGAAAAGAGAAGTCGGGGTTCGACCTGGCCCGGGTCTAGGTTTTGCGAATATCTCAGCATCATTGTGGTTGACCTCGCATAATACCTGCCGCGAAATTGTAGTAGGCAGTAAATAAGAAATAAATATATCGTAATCGTCTGTATCATTGTCTATGCGAAACGCAAAGTCGCATAATTTGCGTTAACGATGTCGGCCGCTGTTTCACGAGTTCTGGTATGTTGTGCCTGATCTCTTCTAAAGCATGTAGGGAGAAATGCGTTGGCGAAACGTGTTGACCACTGCGCGTCCATATAAAAGAGTACCTCGTTGTTGGGAAACTTGGAGTCAAACAAAATACTCCACTAGGCACGCATAGGACACGAAGGCATAAAGGGAAATTTTTGAAGTGAAAGTCATTATCCTCCCATTGTAATCCAAAACATCAGTGCGTAAAACTCTTGAAGTGTTTTGGATAAATTCCAATAACCCAGAAACGGTACCCTGGGAAGAGTGCTCTGTGATCACGCGTCAACTCTCGCCATATTTCAAGCTGACTCACATGAATCAGCACGTTCCTAGCCCATGTAGGAATCTGGGCGGCTCGCCTACACCAAATAGCTAGAGAGCTTACAAATTACAAAGTGGTGAGTGAGTAATTGAAAGAAGTTTTTCATTGTGCGAATGAAAAACTTAGGTATTCAGCTTTATCTACTGAAGTTATAAAAGTGTTTGGATTAGTAGATTTGATGTTAACATGACCATTCCACGTCTGAAGAAGGCGAAATCGCCGAAAGTCAGATACTGTGAATAAATAGTGTAATAACAGCCTTATGTCTGATCAAGGAAACAATTCTATATTAGGTAATGATTTTCAGATTTCAATGATGAAAGTAGCCTTCTGTTAAAAAAGAGTTCAATCAAGATTTAATGAAAAACAAGTGGGTTTTAAGCCTATGGCTATTGAGGAGTGCATTGAAATCAATGCATACTATACTTTGCCACTCTGGGAAGGGACATCGAATACACAGTAGCAACATTCTGTCTTATTTTGCTGATACAAAACGCAAGTAATCGCTATAAGACTTATGTACCTATATTTGTGGAACAGAGATGTCTTAGCGCTCTCCTCATTCACAGTATTTCGTCAGCGGAAAGAACCTAATGTCCTCTATAACTCAACAACGAGATTCGCTTGAAAACAAGTATTTTATAGAGTAATAATTTTAAAATGTAGCTATTCTCGAACCATTCATGGCAAAATGTCTACGGATATGAGATTATTGATTGAAAACGAAAAATAGAGCAGAAAATTTTGAAGCGAAGGAACAGGTTCAGAAGTGCATTGAAATTAAAGCGCATTCGCGGTGCCACTTATGTTTCGAGATCAATGCACATGATAGTGAATGTGTTGGATACAGGCAACAATGACTGTGAAATTCTTTCATCAGGAAGGTCACTAACGAAAACCGTAAGAACGTTAAAGCTCGTATGTAATCGTTCATTCCAATATTTCGAATAACAGTACACCACCCACCAATCTATTAATGAATTGTCGTTGAGTGAACTCGGTTACGGTAGCATTTCCGACACGTAAATGAACTCCTCGAGCTTCGACAACTTGTACAAATACCTTAGATGGGAACACCTCATCTGCGAATGAGGGATGAATGTGGGAAATAAAAATTAGAAATAAAAAAGTAGGATTTTAAATAGCTTCTCAAAATGCTTTCCTTCATGGCTTTGGAAAGAGGCCCTGATTTAAGGAAGCTGAAAATGGAAGTAGAAATCACGCAACTGACCTTGTCCGGGCCATCGTCTGGATCGGAAAGCAGAATATTATCAGACGTGAGTAATCGGCTGAAAATGAAGCAGGAATAAAAGCATATTAACCGTAAAAGACAATGGTGACAAAAATAGAGTGACGAAAACGGAAAAGAAAAACATAAAAAAGGTAGAAAAAAGTTCCACAAGAAATTGGGATTCTGTAGCAAACCATTGTAAAGAAATTATGTTTAAAGGGTGGTCATATCGGAAACATTCAAAAAGTGAGGGATTAAAAAGAAGAAAGTAGAAAATAAGAAAAAAAGAAAAAATTGAAAGCAAGAAATCCAGATGTGTACCTTCCTTTGGCAGAAATCTTAAGCAGATTCGTGCCTTTGGCCTCGGCGAGTTCGGGAGGATCGTTGACGGGATTGATACGGATTCGTAACACGTACGTTGTTGACTCCAACCATGGGAAGTCGATCTTTTTGCCAATCAGATCCGACTAGAAAATCTCGTGTTGATCTCAGGAAGTTCTTCTACAGTGCACTATGTCGACTTATCAGCTGTTTGCTCTATTACCAGGCACGATTTTCTACCGCTTTGAAGGCTCATAATTGCACAATTTTCTGCAACTTAACCTCATGAAAAGAAAGCAACAAAAGAACAACCCTCTTCCAAAAAAAAGAGAGGAAATGAACCCAAAGGATCTCTCTGCAGGGAAT